GCTCACATAACACCCTATGTCATAATTTATTTTCCATAGTCTATTGAACAAGCCATAATAATCTGGCTCATAGATAATAATCCATAAATCATGATTCAAAGGTCACAGTAATTGAAGTCAAACAGTGCATCCTGCTAGGCCAAAATGCACTGGGTTTAGCATGCTGCGGTGGTAAATTGCAACTCAATTAAAAATAATGGTTAATTAAGGTTAGAGTGATTCCCTTCTTTTTCTCTCTACCAAATCTTAATATTTCCTGTTTTTTAACATTCATTGTTGCCTTTATCATTGTTTACAGATTAAAAGAACACCAGCCCAAATACTTGGCTGAATGTAGTTGAGTCAGTTGTAGAAGGTGGAAGCATCTAGATCAGGAGTCCCCAAAGTGATCAATATTGACCCACAAGTGTTGATGAGACTACCAAAGGGTTTGATAAATGCCCCCAGACAAGAGGGTCAGAACATGTCCGAGAGTCAATATGTGGACAATAAATGATGGAAGATTGATTGGGATCAATTAACCTTTGAGGGTATCTCTAGAACTCCATGTCAGTTCCCTAGTTCTGAAGGTGAGGTGGCTAGTGGCAAGAGATTGTTACCCAGAGTTGGATGGTTAATTGCCAACATGAGTGGCCTTATATTTTCTCTATTACGGCTCATTGCAGAGTCAACCAGATGTTTGGACGGAACTTGACATTTTTATCCACCCATCGAGTCTCTCCCAAAGACCAGGGACAGTCAGATGTTTTTCTTTGATGAGTTAAAGATACCGACTCAGTATATAAGCTTCTTCAAATAAAGCTGCCTTCTGCAATTGACTGATGATGGTTTTGTCAATGCCGATCATATTCAAATGCTGCTCCAGTTGCTTTGGGATTCACCCAAGGGGCCTATTAATATTGGTACTACCTTTGCTTTCTTTTGCTACAGATATTCTACTTCTATTTGCAGGTCTTTGTATTTTGTGATCTTCTCCAGTTCTTTCTCTTCTATTTTGCTATTTCCAGGTACGCCACGTCCGCTATCCAGGCTTTTTTTTGTCTTTTTTTTACCAACAATTGTTTACTCTGAGGTTGTTATGTGGCAGGTACTTATCTGTTTGGATTCTAAAGTCCCAGAGCACTTTAGCTTCTTCATTTTCTATTACTTTGCCTATTTTATGGTCTCACCAGTTTTTGCCTGCAGGCAAATGGTATTTCTTGCAGATCTTCCAATGCACCATTGTTGCTACTTTGTCATTCCGTAGTCTGCAGTCAGTCCGTGTGATCTCCTTGTAGTAGCTAATTAAGTGCTCTACTGTTTGTTTGTTTTTAGCTATTGTTGACTGTTGATGTTTCTCAATTCTGCCTTTATATGCATCTATTCTTAAGGCTTGATCTTGTGTAGCCAGAATTAACCCCTCTATCTCTTTCTTCAATTTTCCTACTCTTAGTCATTGGCAGGTCTTATTATTATCAATAATAGTACCGTTAGTTAATGTAGTAATTGTTACATTATTTTCATGTAATAAATGTTTGAGGGGATGACAATGAACAACCTGAAACTTCATGAAGAGATCAATTTGCTCAAGAGTTTGGGGACCACTGATCCAGAACATCTTAACTGACTTAGAAAAACTAAGTAGATTTTTTTATCTGATTAATTAATAGAAAATTCCAGGGCTATAGGCTAGATAGATAGATAGATAGATAGATAGATAGATAGATAGATAGATAGATAGATAGATAGATAGATAGATAGATAGATAGATAGATTCTGTAAGAAATTAATAGCAAACAACTTTTGCCAAGAAAACTACATAGATATGTTCATGAAATCACCAGGTGAATCTGACTCAAAGTAGATTTTACTTTTAAAAAGAAACCATCCTGATATTTAAGGATAGTAATTTAAAATACCTTCAAAGGCACTGAAACATGAATCTATAGTTCATATGTGCTCTGGCAAATCTGTAACACTTTTATTACTGCTATTTGGTTAAATTTTTTATTTTGTTACTTATTTTTTATTGTTTTGTATAGTCTTGATCCTATTTATTACCGATGTAAATCAGGTTGGGCACAACGTGCTTGGTGATAAAAGGTTGTTTATAAATCCCACTGTAAACCCATCAGATACAATTATTGGTGGGGAAAAAGTCTTCCAGCATTTTGCCCCAAAACTGTTGACATAAATACTAATTAAGCACCAAACAGCTTATTTGAAGGAACACAAATGTCAGACGCGCCCTGCAAACATCCACCCATTCCATTCTCAACATTTCACTTTGTCCTGTAAACAGTCCATAATATTCATACCAATCATTTATAATGGGATGACATAACCTCGTGGACAATTTATTAAAATTATTTGTCAAATCCTGCCCCTGATGTTTGAGGAATCCTTGCTTCCTGAGAATCAGGGTTTGTTTTTTTTTGCACCTCTTTTAAAACATCCAGAAGAAGAAGAAGAAGAAAAAAATGACATTTTCACCCACTGCCTATTTCTCCAAAGAATTTCTTGGTCCAGTTGAAGCCCTACAATTGATATATGCTTGCCTGAGATTATAATATTTTTTTCCTCCATTTTCTCCAAGAGGCTGTTTTTTTCTTGATGGCATGGTGGAGAGAAAGAGATAGGCAGAACGTTTGGGTACCTCATGTCTGCAATGAGGCAACTAGAACTTCCTGCTTTGTGGATTTCTGAAGAACGTTTCCATCTTTTTGTCTCACGTGCATCTCTTATTTTGCTCCAACCTACAGGTTGGAACTTACAATCATTCATTTGGTGACAATTCGAAGTTACAACGGTACTGAAAAGAGTGGCTTGTGACCATTTTTCACCCTTAGGACCGTTGCAGCATCCCCAGGGTCATGTGATCAAAATTCAGAGGCTTGGAAACTGGCTTGTACTTATGACGGTGGCAGTGTCCCGGGGTCACGTGATCCCCTTTGGTGATCTCTACTAAGCAAAGTCAATGCGGAAACCAGATTCACTTAACAACCGTGTTACTAACTTAACAACTGCAACGATTCACTTCACAATTGTGGCAAGAAAGATGTAAAAGTGGGCAAAATTCACTTAACCACAGTTTTGCTTAGCAAACTGAAATGTGTGGTCGTAAGTAAAGGGTTACCTGCACGCGGGCAGGGAAACAGTGGGATAGAACGAAACATTCAGCATAACATTATTTCCTCTAATGGTGTTTCTTCCACTGAGCTGAAAATCCATCTGTCTTATCGTGGATTCAAGGAACTGTTCATGACATAATGTTTTTAGGATCTAGAGAACCGTTCTCTCTGGGCAATATAGCCTGTTAGACAATCACAGATTGCAACACAACAACTTCCTTAGCACTTATGGAATTTACCAAAAGGAAGCTTTTGATTAGCAATCGGTGTCTTGTTCGCATGATCCCAAACTCTTCATGGAACAAACATTTGCCTTATGAACAAGAACTTGTGACGTGCATTTGAAGATTGAGGAAATCTCATGTTGGAGAGCTCAACGTGAGATATAACTGCAAACAATTTAAAGGCTGCATTCGACAGAAGTTACTGCCATCGGTACTCTGGCTAACCACCCATGCAGTAAAGACATGGTAATTGCTCTTCCATTTCAGTACTTGCAAGTTTGGAATAAGAATGTTAGACTAACATTCTCAGCTTATGCTTTTCCATTTAATATATTCAGAGTATTCTATTCGACAAACCCCACCATTAGAAAGTCTTCGATGTCTACAATCTTGACTTCATATTTTAACTGCCCCTATAAAGAAACCTAGACCTATTTAAAAAAGGGTTAATGGATCAAAGGAAGTCTGCTCCATTTTAGGGATCTAGCAAATTTCTGGTCTGATTTTATTTTTTAATTAAAGATCCACAGAATTACATTGCCTGAACTTGTAGATGGATGGGTATCTGGCATTTTCCTTTTGAAGCTTTATGAGATGGTTAAGAGATCCTGCCAATCTTGTTTGCAACATTTTTTTAAAGAAAATTGATATTCGTATCTGCTTTCTGTTTAGCCTTAGAACTAGCCACGCAACCACAAAATTGGGGTGGTTACCTGGTCATTCCAGGAAGTACTACAACAGAAACCTCTACTAGCACTGCTACAAATTCCTAGGATTTTTAATTATTGAATGACATAGATCAGGGGTCTCCAACCTTGGCAACTTTACGACTTGTGGACTTCAACTCCCAGAAAGGAATTCTGAGAATTGAAGTCTACAAGTCGTAAAGTTGCCAAGGTTGGAGACCCCTAACATAGATGGTATCTTGGCCACATCACAATGTTATTAAAATAAATGCAACCTATCTTTCTCTCCAAGTATTCTTTTTATTTCTTCCTGGCAAAAGGAAAAAAGGAAAATAGCTAGTAACTGGCATTCATCCTAGCTAGTGTCCATTCTCTTCCTGAACTCAAAGAACCAACACATGACTGTTTTTTAAAAAAACTTGGAATTCTAAGCAGAATTCGTTTTGATCTTTTGATCCTATAAGGCATCAACTAAAATTTGGTTTTTTTCTCAATTGACCAAGCGGGTCGTGGCAAAACGGTTCCCTAACAGCAAACACAAAGTTGTGAGATGGGTCATGAGCGAAACACCAAGCAATTCATGACACTGGCCTCATCCTTTACATGTTATGGGCAAGGTAAGTAACCAAAAAGCTATTTTGAAAGACTGGAAAGGAGACAGTATACTAAATATTTTGCCCATCTGGATTCTCTCCGATTGAAGTTCAACACTGAGAACGCTGCACCCAAACACTGAATATAACCGCCTTAGAACTAAGAACCATTGCCATCTCCCAAAGCATTTAAACAAACTATATTAAAATACCATCTTCTGTCACATTTAAAGGCAGTAGGATATGTTTTTCCCCCCTCTATATTTATATATACACAGAGTTCTGATCTAGAAAAACCAATACAATAAACTGTTACTTAACATCTTCATTTAAAAACAGGCAGTCTTTGGTGATGTGAAGGCAGAAAACATGTTGCTTGTATGTCTGTTACCTTCTGCCTATTTCACTCTGTCTCATAAAGTGAATATTGTTGGCACTGTCTGCGAGTTCTAGATACTGCTCCACAGATAAGACAAAATATCCGTCATAACCCTGCACTTTCCCAGTGCTCAAAAGCTGCTGCTTCTCCCCTTCTGTCCAAACCCTTGTACCTTCTTCACCATCTTGCAGTCGCTTTTGTTCCTTAGTCCAAGCTTGTAGCACAGCTCTTTGCCGGGCGATCTCCAAAACATGGTTCTTCTCTTCTTCGATGGTCGTCCCATATCGAATGTTAAAGCACAAAAAACCATGCTGAAGTTGGATGTCTGCAAATCGTCTTGTCCTCCCGTTGATGACGGAAGTCATTTGGGACACCGTGACGTTGACCCCGTTCTCCAAGATCCGCCGTCCCCCAGTGTTGCCTATGAGAGAAAGGTCTTCTTCCAAAGACCCAAGCTTGATGAAATAGTGGGTGTCTCGTCCATCGATGGTGAAATGGAGGTTCTCGAGGTAATGAGCACCGTTGAGGATGGCAGCGATGCGTCGGCTGTCCTCATTGGCTACGCCGATAATGTCTGCTGTTACCAGTCCATCCTTAATTGCGAATTTGATGCCCTTCCCAAAGACCGAAGGAACTGCAGCAAATTGGGGTTGCTTTACCTTCTGTGTACATCGGCCATCGCTGTATTTGGGGGTCATGGGAAGCTGATCCAAGGAAATAAAGTTCCGGAGTTGCTTCTGTAGTTCACACTGAATGCCAAGAATAGTCTGAGAAGGGAGGAAGGAAGGAAGGAAGGAAGGAAGGAGAAGAGAAAGGAAGGAGAAGGGAAGGAAGTGAGGGAGCGAGGGAGGGAGGAAGGAAAGAGAAGGGAAAGGAGGGAGGGAGAGAGGAAGGAAAGAGAAGGAAAAGAAAAGAGGGAGGGAGGAAGAAAAGAGAAGGGAAGGGAGGGAGGGAGGGAGGAAAGAACGAAGTAGGGAAGGAAGAAAGGAAGAGAAGGGAATGAGAAGGGGAGAAAGGGAGGGAGGGAGGGAGGAAAGAGAAGGAAAGGGAAGGGAGGGAGGGAGGGAAGAAGAAGGAAGGAAAGAAAGAGGACAGTATCAAAAGTGAATGTAGTTTATTAAAGCAACACAACACAACACAAACTTTTTATTGAATGCACTGCATGGGAATTTCCAAAAATTGGTGCAGGAAAGTTGTCATGACTAACAGTTTCAGAGTGTGGATGTGGATGCACATTCTGCAAGACTGATGAAATGAGAAAACAACACTGCACCGGAGGCTTCATTTCCAGATGTCTACTCTTTGAGACATACTTGTGAGTTTCCAGAACTGAAGAGCAGATCTTAAAAAGTGCCCCTCAGTCACATTAATGACTGGATATGGAACTTCTTGGTTTGCACAGAACATTTTTTTACAGTTGAAGATAATTCTTTCCTGCAAATAATGCAGGAATTGTAGTTTTTAGTGAAGTTATGCTTGAGAAGGAGCGATCCTTTCCAATTACAGTCAGTGGTCATTCCTGACTTAAATTTTATTTGGTGATTAAAACATTTGAAAATGCCCTGCTGTCACTCAAAGCAGTCTTTTGCCTCCTGTATTTTAGGTTGGAAGAATTGGGGTTAGAAAAGAATTCTTCATAAAGGCAGTATAACATATCACATTTCTCACAGGTGAGAGAGCACAGATTGTGTCTCTGATCACTGGAACTATGTTTAGGATGGTTGTGCTATTAAGATTTAAGAGGAAGGAAGGAAGGAAGGAAGGAAGGAAGGAAGGAAGGAAGAAAGGAAGGAAGGAAGGAAGGAAGGAAGGAAGGAAGGAAGGAAGGAAGATAAGCAGTGTCCTGCTGGATTCCACACACTACACTTGTAGAATCTTTGCACATTTCCATCCCTAATCAATTGTCAAGTGCCAGGGAAATCAAGAGATCCAGGCGGTTCAAATGGGTATAAAGATTTATTGCAAGCTCAAGCTCTTTACAAGAATCTGAACTACTAAGAGCCAAAAGAAATTGGTGGTAGATAAGGGTAGAAGGAATTCAAGATGGGCTGGACTTAGAGCTCTTGTGTGGGCATGCAGGGACTCATGACTGATGACGCATTTGACCCCTCCCTCAGGCTCAGCTGGGTCATCTCCTACATCAATAACCCGCCTCATAGAAGGGGACATCAGCCAAGACCCTTTCACCATCAGAGAAAGAACAACTGCAAAAACTGTCCTTTCCATCTTTGTTGAAATACTCTGGCTTTATAAGACTACAAACAGCGCTACATGATTTGTACACACATTTGTATTCTCCATGCGAATCCCTTCCCCTAGTTGCGATATTATCACTCCTAGTATAGGTTGTCATCAGCCTTCTTTAATCTAATTAAGCCAAGATGGCACAGTGGTTAGAATGCAGTATTGCAGGCTAATTCTGCCCACTGCCAACAGTTTGATTCTCACTGGCTCAAGGTTGACTCAGTCTTCTGTCCTTCCAAGGTCAGTAAAATGAGGACCCAGATTGTTGGGGGCAAGAGGCTGACTCTGTAAACTGCTTAGAGAGGGATGTAAAGCACTGTGAAGCGGTATGTAAGTTTAAGTCCTATTGTCATTGCTAATTCCTTCAGAAGTCTTTGACTTACCTTTCCAGGATCCCACTCTTGGGTCTTGGTTTGAAGTTGTAAAAGCTCGTACGTTGTGTCCAAAGTGCCCATCCCTGGCCTTGGGAACCCAGGGAGCACATTGTGAAGCTGAAATCCAAACAGTTCAAGCCAACTCCCGATATCTATCGAGGAAACCAAGAAGAGTTCAATTGGCCTAAATGCCTGTATAAAAGCAAAGAATTTCTAAACATTAAAGAAGTATCTCCTTTGATTAAGAGGTATAAGAGACTTGAATGCCGGGAACACCGTGGTGAAACAAGCTTTCCCAAATATTAAATGCTGCTAAATATTTCTGACTGGGAAAGGGGAGTGAGAAAAATATGAACACAATCTGACTAGAAATGTTTGGAAGAGTGGGAAGCGACTATCAGCCTTGCGACGTAGCCCAGTCAAGAAACACGCCCAGGTGAAATAATTCCACTTTATTGTAAAGTTACATTAACAGAATATGTATGTTTCTCCCTTTCACCTTTACAGCCCAAAAAACTAGGGAAGTTTCCTTCTGAGACGTTTCCACATCCTTTTACTGCTGTGGGCTCTTCTGCCTCTTATCTGTTCCCCTGGCTGCTGCTTTGCTCCCTGTCTCCCATGGCTATTCCCCCATGCCATAACTGCAGCTCTCCACTATGATAAGTGTCACACAACCTGTGCTAAGTATGGAATATTCCTCGCACTGTATCCTTTCTTCCTTTGCTTGCCTTTTTAAATTATGTAACATTGATAAAATATTAAAAAGTATAGCAGGACAATTGCGACTATTTAAACTTTTAAGAAAGTATAGGTACATTTGTTTTCATCTTCACCTCTTCTTCCTTTGGGATCGTGACTTCTAAATTATTAGGCTGGCGGGCTCTGATGGTTGTGCTGTACTTTTTATGAATTCTGCAGGAGGCCTTTAGCAGAAAAGAAAGGGAGGACTAAATGAACCAAATGAATAGCCTGAAAATTCAGGCATGTCTTACCTGTAGTATATTTAGCCACATCTTGTATTTTGCCAGCTGGATAATTGTTTTCAAATGCATACAAATTAAATGGCTTAGGGACATTCTTCAGCTCTTCCCAGATGCGATGGTTTGGGCTTGTCCAACGTCCAGCAATGACATCATAATCTCTTTGCCCCAAGTGTACCAGTTTAGTCAAAGAATTATATAGCCCTCCATGAAAACCGATAACAACTTCAAAATCTGGGTTAGTGTCCTGATAGATCTCACCGTAAGGCGTGTAAAGGATTTCTTTGATCACTTGGCCTCGGCTGCTGAAGACAGCTAAGGGTGTCCCTGTGTTGTCACATGCCACATAATACTCTTCGCCACTGCTTAACTCCATAGCTATCAAGTGTCCTTGAAGGTCATAATAAAGGGATGTGATTTCTGAACTGCTGTGATTGTACAAGTGAGTAATTCTTACTGGATTGGAGAGATCTGCGTAAAAGAATTGTAAGTGTTGCCCTAGATTTGACTTGCTGGCCACTCTTCGTCCCAAGCCATCATAGCAAAACTGGATTGTCCAGCCAGCCACCCTGTTGTAAGCTCTGCTCAGGAAACCATTGGAGCTGTACTCAAAGATGTCATTTCCTCTTTGTTTAAGAAAGCCATCTTCATCCACCTTGTACTGAAGATCTCCTAGCCTTGTGATGCGGTCTCGGAGGTCATATCTCAGAGGAGTAAGCCGTGCACTGTTCCCGTGGCTGAGTAAGTTGATATTTCCATTGAGATCATAGCTGTAGCGCCACTGAGTTTTGTCATTCACAGAGACAGTTTGAAGCTGTCCATCAGCATCGTATTCATAAAAGTACCTTGTTATGTTGGCATTTACTCCTACTCGGATGTCACATATCACCATACGTCCCATGTTGTCATATTGAAGAGTCATCCAGTAGGCAATGAATTTCAGAATTTCATACTGTACTTCTATCACTTGGCCATTGGCACTGAAAATTTTGGTATGCTTCATCATGGTGGTGGTGATAACTTGATTTAAGTCATAATTGATCACGCTGAATTTGCCAAATTGTTCTGTTTTCCCAGACACATCTACGTAGCGGTATAGATCAATAGGGAGTGGTGTTTCGTTGATCATTGCTTGCATGCTGGTTACCCGAAAGTTGTTATAGCTGTAATCAAACCTGGCATTCACGAGACCTTCTTCACTGAATCGGAATATCTGTCGCCCAATAAGTGGCCCTATAGATAAAAGGTAAAATGGATCGTTAAGAAGAGAAAACTGCCCAAAAATGCTGGGGGAGACACCTAAATTTAGGCAACTGAGAACAAGTTAGAAACCAGGGCAAATCATTAGGAGAAAAAGATTTCAAAAACTAGCATAGAGATGTATCTTTATTATGCCTAATTAAAAACCACACAGTTGTGAGGAAGCTTTCAAGTCCTTCAAACCATTTTAAAAATGAACCATTTGTTCATTTTGCAAAGAGTGGGCACCTTTGTCAGGTTAGGACACTATAGATTTTGAAATAATTAGATATTTAGAATTTAACTATCAATTTTATATATACAGTATTTGGAAGCATCTTTTTGTGATATTACTATATATGAAATGATTGTGTCATGTAAAAGGCAATACTAGCCTAATCTATTCAACAGACTACCATAATCTTCATCTTCTTTTTCCTTTTTAAAGGTATTTTAGGTCCAATTATATAGTCTAAATCTAACCTTACCAAATAAACCTATTCCTAATTTGATGAATGCCATGACAGCAAATCTTCCAAATCTTTGTGAGACAGGCAGGACATGCATTGCAACAGATGTCCTTCTAGCCACACCGAATTCTAGCCACAATTTTTAATTCTGGGAATTTTAATTCTGAAATATGTGGACAGTTCTATAATACAAATTGAAAACACATTTTTACCATTCACACGAGCCTTAACCATACAATCTTATTTCAATATAATTTTCCAATCCGATTCCGTTACAAAATAAAATTCTTCAGGTGCTTATTCCAAGACCTCACATGCCAGAAGACATTACGGACCATATGCACCAGGGACTATCACTATGTTATCTGTTCCCTTAATCCAGGGGTAGGCAATCTTGGCTCTTTTATGACTCGTGGACTTCAACTCCCAGAATTCCTGAGCCAGCATGGCTCAGCTTGGAAACCTCAGCATGGCTGGCTCAGGAATTCTGGGAGTTGAAGTCCACGAGTCATAAATGAGCCAAGGTTGCCTACCCTGCCTTAGTCACTCTAACAAATAACCAATAAGCTACATCCTTCTGGAATCCAGAACAGATTTATCCAAAAGGTATTTTTTTAAAGTGATGCTTCAAAAATAGGGTCTTTGTATAAAAGAGAAGTTGAATCTCAGGGCTGGCAGGTCTTCATGAGAGTGGTGAATAGCTGCCAAGAACAGGTGAAACCTAGGAACCTAATCTTAACCCACCCGTTTGCCTGTATCTGATGGTGCAAATAAATCCATCATGCATCAAGTGTATGGTTTTAATGACGCCCGTTGATTCTTCGTAAGTAAAGGAGACCTGTGTGGTGTCGTAAAGGATCTCGGAGAGCTTGGACTGTGGTGTGTATTGATAAAGAACTTGGCGGCCCGTTCCTGCGTAGAGAGTTTGCAAAAGCCGTCCATCTCTAGAAAAGTCCTGCATGAAGGAGGCACTGCTGTCTGGCGGAGAGTAAAGATTGCGATAGTAGCCAACAGAGAGCATGGTTTGAAAACTGTGGCGGACCATGCTTGGCATGGTGACAGACAGTAGGTAGTCCGACTGGTCATGTTCAAAGATGTAGCGGCGCTGGCTGTGCAGAAGAAGCATCACAGACTGAAAGAAAGAAAAAAATCCAGAACGTTAGGAAATAAGTCGTTTCCAGAGGCGCTGGTGGGATAAACAAGTCAGGAATACCTACACTGCAAACACAGTTTCAGCCAGGGGATTTGCCTCAAGAGGGCACACAAATGTATTTTTAGAGAGGATAGACTGAAGTAAGACCTTTCATCAAATATATCAAGAGATCTCAAGGTAGTCATATTCCCAAGACAACATGGGGGGACATCATAGTGGGGAAGATTACAGGATATCAATGGCTTTTTTTTATAGGTTGGATGTGGTTGAGAGTATTCTTCTTCTAAGAACTTCCTTCAATTGGAAATAATTTGGCCATATATCCCAGTCTGGATCCTCCAAATGTGGTGGAACCATAGCTTTAAACATACCTGTCCCAAAGGGGCTTTTTCAAAAGGCAACTGGACTTTGTTTTCTCCTTGAAGACGTTTCGCTTCTCACCCAAGAAGCTTCTTCAGTCAGAATAGAAGAAGCTTCTTGTATGAGAAGTGAAACGTCTTAAAAGAAAAACAAAATCCAGTTGCCTTTTGAAAAAGCCCCTTTGGGACAACCATGACCTGGATGACTGAAAATCTCCTTAGACATTTCAACATACTTGTTTTGTAGGCTAATGGAAATCCTAACTGGNAAAAGGTCTCCATGATCCTAAAGAATCACCTGATACCTGATTATTTTAAACCAAGATGTTGATCAATAAGCCTTCTCTACTCTCTGCCTTTCAATAATCGTTTCATTAGTATTTCTAAAAGGAGAGAACAACCCCATTATTTGACTTAATCAACATTCAAAAATGATCTTATTCCATTCTCACTCTTCCCCAGTTACAACAGCTAATAACCTTTTCTAGATAGGTGTAGCTCCATATTTTTCCATCTGCCCATGTTCTGGAGATAATCTTCCCATTTGGATCATACTCCATTTTTTCAGTCCATGTTCCTCTCTGGATGTACGTTACTAATCCAGAATGGGAGTAAGTGATGTTGACTTCATTGTACTTGTTGATGGGTGACCAAAGAATTGGGCGGCCTGCCTGGTCATAGAGGATCCGAAGAGTGAACTTGCGATGGTCATCATAGATCTTCCCTGTTCTTGTTAAGTGGTCAAAATCAATGGACAACAAGTTTCTGTTGTGAGCCTAAAAAACATTAAAAGAATAGCATGGCACTTATGATTGAAGCAGTTCTGCTATTAAAACCTTTGTACAGTAGTTTACAACAGCTCTTATTGTCTTACTGAAAGTATTACAGCATTGTTCTGACACTACCGACAATATTCCAAGTTTGGGACATTTCTGATATGATTTGCAACACTTTCAGTCTACTTAGAACGTGGAACAGCCATTCCAAGCTCACAACAGGACTCTTTAACCTAGAAACATCGTAAATTTGAAGCTCTATTATGAACAGTATACATTATAGTAGGGCTGCATTTGTAGATTTTATACATGTGATTTGTTTGCTTTTCACTGAAAATTATGTGTGCACTTAGCCTCTGGGATACAATGACGGACAGTTTAGCAAGCCTGCTCCACAAACTGTGGACTTGCTCCACAAACTGTGACTTGCTCCACAAACTGTGGACTTGCTCCACAAACTGGTCAAAAGGAACCATAGTTCCACATGATAGATGAATTCAGGTCTTCTCTCAGACTCAATCCAATAATCTCAGTGAAAGAAATGAGTGGGATGGAATAAGCCAAATCACGTCTTTCTCAAATCAAGCTTGACTCCTCCTAATGACTTCATGGAGATGTCCTGTTAGTTTTGTTGACAATTATATGGAAGTGATTTGCTATTTTTTTCTTCCAGAATACTTTTTGGGGGCTTCTCGATCTATCTTAAAACTCTGAGGTTTCCGGATGCTTTCGAACCAAATACTAATCAGAACTGACCTCTCTTAGCATTCTCAAGATTAGCCAAGGTTGCTGTTCGTCTGCTGTGGGAGGCTTGAAGAAAGCCCTGGAATATTCCGTTCTCCCATTTTTCCATCAAATTTGACAGATCTATAATGATTACCCTGTTTGTAGGCCATTTTTTTTGAGATCATTAGTTTGAATGCACCCTGTTAATCAAGGCCTCCCCAAGGAGTAAGTTCTGTCAAATTGAAAACAGATTTCCTAAAGCGTTTCTTCACCCTGTACGTTTATTGACGTCTTCGTTTTAAACCCAAGTCTGTTAATTAAAGAGATTGAGGGGAAAAAAAAAAGTATTGACTCACCTGCCACAGGGATCTGTTAATACTCTTGTTGAATGAAAGCCATAAAGGCCAATCAGATACAATGACAGCGGATCATTTTGTGTAAATGCAGGACTGGAGAGACCAAAGTGGCTTTGGAAATGAACTCCTAAGACAGGCAAAATCCCATCTCGAAGGAGAGATGAGTTGTTTATTGGCTTGAAGTAAAGTCTGAACCACAGCCAAACGCCAGGATTTCCTTCTTGACTGTTTGGCAGTCTTTATGGTATGCAAAACATGGTCTCTGCCCCTTATCCACTGCTTACAGTATTAATCTTATGAACTCTAAAGCTTCCTCTTTCCGCTATGAATTCAAGATGGACAGTGATTAATATTTATGTGTTATTTATATGTAAGGTTGCAGGTTTATACGTATGTTGTATATAGCATGTTTAAATGTGTGTTATGTATGTGTACACTTTTGAGAGCAAGCAACAAAATTTCATTTTTAATGTGTGCCAATGTGCCCACAATAAAAGATCACAATAAAGGTCTTTCTTTCTTTCTTTCTTTCTTTCTTTCTTTCTTTCTTTCTTTCTTTCTTTCTTTCTTTCTTTCTTTCTTTCTTTCTTTCTTTCTCTCTCTCTCTCTCTCTTCCTTCTTTCTTTTTCTTCCTTTCTTTCTTTTTCCTTCCTTCCTTTCTTCCTTTTCCTTCTCTTCTTTCTTTCTTTCTTTCTTTCTTTCTTTTTTCTTTCTCTTTCTTTCCCTCCCTCCCTCCCTTCTCTTTCCTTCTCTTCCTTCCTTTTCCTTCTTTCTTTCTTTCTTTCTTTCTTTCTTTCTCTTCCTTTCTTTTCCTTCTCTTTCTTTCTTTCTTTCTTTCTTTCTCTCTCTTTCTTTCTCTTTCCTTCCTTTCTTCCTTTTCCTTTCTTTCTTTTTCTTTTTTCTTTCTTTCTCTCTCTCTTTCTCTCCTCTTTCTTTCTTTCTTTCTTTCTTTCTTTCTTTCTTTCTTTCTTTCTTTCTTTCTTTCTTTCTTTCTCTTCCTTCCTTTTCCTTCTCTTTCTTTCTTTCTTTCTTTCTTTCTTTCTTTCTTTCTTTCTTTCTTTCTTTCTTTCTTTCTTTCTTTCTTTCTTTCTTTCTTTTCTTTCATAGCTCTCTTTATTTCTCTGCCCAGATGTTCAGGGAGAGTTCCTATCTATTTCTCTTTAGCAAATGGGTAGGGGATCTGGGGAGTTATCTCTCCCCAATGGGAATTGCCTGCTTTACTCGTGCCAGCGGAAGAGGCCTGCTACGGATCCCATCTGCTAAGGAATTCCGGCAGGCAGGATCAAGGAGAAGACTGCTCTATGCACAAAAATGGAAGGATGTTTCGATTCCCACCATAGACGAATGACTACAAAAGCTGATGATGGAATTAGCAGAGATGGCTAAACTGACTGTTTTAACGAAAGAAAACTTCAAGGAGGAGTCATAAGTAATTTTTTTTTTTGGGGGGGGTGTCAGTTGTAAGTTGAATGGTCTTTCAGCGATCAGCCATTAAGCCAGGATTACTTGTATTAGCAGTTTGTTATTTTGCTAGGTTCTCTTTTAAACTAAAAAAAACTCTTTATGCTCTAAATTATAGCACAGGTTTTAGTCTCATTTAATTTCTTTAAATGTCATACCTCCCCTTACGCCTGTTGCCTTTTTTCCCCTTGCTATTATTTTTCTCTTGATGTTGCAGTGTGCTGTTCCCATCCATGGTCACAGAAATAACTTTATTTCTTATTAAGTTAGGCATCTTTGAAAAATTTCTAGATGGATACTCCCTCCTCCAGTTCGTAAAAAGTCAAGTGTTCACCAAGGCAACCATTTTGTGAGAGGGCTGATAATTCATTGCCAATATTTCTAAGTGTCTACTACCCCCCCCTCAAAATTTAGTTTTATAAGAATGTCACCTGTTGCTTTGAAATATGTGTGTGTGTCCCTTGAAGTCAGTTTTTGACTTCTGGAAATTGCCTGTACCAGTCCTTGCTGTTTTTCAGCAAAATCTTGAAAGTGGTTTGCCATTGCATCATTTTTGGGGCTGGGAGACAATGACTGGCCCCAAATAACCCAGCTAGCTTTGTGCCTCTGGCAGGATTAATTTTAGCCTGGTACCTTAACCAACACACGAAACTGGCTCTTACTTTGAAACAGACACAAAGCCAAAATTGACAATGCCAATTTTGACACTGACAAAGCCAAAATTGACACTGGACGATTTGCAGTATTGAGCCAGAAATATAGGTCTCTTCAGTGGAAAAACTTACCCGTAACCTTCTTTCAAAAGTGGAAATATTGCCTTTAGTTTGTTCCTTCCTTTGCCTCCACTCGATAAGGTTGGAGTTATGCTCTCCAGGTAAGGAGATATTACATTTTCCTAAGGTAGGGTTGACCACACCAGCCAGGATGTGTGTCTCAGCATTCAGCGTCAGCTCCATTCCACTGGCAAAGGTGACTCGGAGGGATCCATCTGGACTGACCCGATAAATATTCTGAATGTTGTCTGTCATCACACAAAACAGAGAAGAGGAGAAGGAGCTCAGCTATTCATCTTGATGAGTGTATAGTTGTGTGTGCAAAGGATTTATTTATCTAGTCCAGGGGTTCCCAACCGGGGGTATTCGAGACGACATTCTAGGGGGCGCGAAAACTTGAGTTTTCAAAATTATAGCGCATGTGCATAATTCGTTGCTGTTATTTCGAACTTTTGTAAGGGGTGCGAGAATATATCAGAAGTGTTCTAGGGGTGCGGGGTATAGAAAAGGTTGGGAGCCACTGGTCTAGTCTTAGAATGATATTTGCAGTAGTTCCACAACTGGAAACATCTGCGTTCAAATCCCAATATAGGCTTCTTAACATTATTCTCCATATCAAAGAAAAGAATTTCCCGGAGTAACACTGAAGGAAGATATGGAACTAATAGCACTGAAAAGCGAAGAATTCCCAGCACTATTGAAAATATAGTTTGATTACCACTCAATGTGTTTTGGAGAGAAGCCAAACTTTGAATAGATACAGATATATGGAAGTAGACATGTAGATATAACAATTCTTCCGTTTAATGGATTTCAATATAGCAAATTGAAGATAGAAGTAACTTTCATTCTGACTCCACCCCAATTTAAATTAAGCTAAATTAAAGTTTTACTGCAATTACTGCAGTAATTTACTGTGCAATTATACAAGTGATATCATTTATACATTTGGATTTAACAGACATTTGGATTTAACAGACATTTGGATGTAACAGACATCCTGACCGCACATATACAGATATAGGCATCTGTATATGGGTCTCTGTGTTAATGTCTAGAAAAAAGATTGTGGAAGAAATCTGCAGAATGGTGAGTATAGGATTGCAATCTGTTTTATTAAGGTGTGATATTGACACACATATAAAAGGGGCAGGGTTGGACTGTGATCCCATGCCTGCTATACTGCAGATTTTGACTCCCCACACATAAGGATTCTACTTTACATATCCACACAAAACTTTATTGTAATGAGCATTGTATCTCTTAAAAATATAGAGGCAAAATTAGTTTTTTGCAAACATCTGCATTTTTTTTTGCAAACAAAGAATATCCGTTAAATAATTTTGCTTAGACTGGGAAGTTGAAAAAGAAACTTATGATCTTAAAGAGGAAATAAATTGTCATCCCCAGTTGTAAAAAATAATCTGTACTCTAGAATTGCTGCTAAAGTGCAAACATATATTTTTTTAGTCCAGAATGGGGAACTGTAACCCTGCAGCAATTGCACCCTGAAGTGCAGGAGAAAAGAAATTCTCCATCCTTGCTTCAAATATTGCTTTTTTAAAATTCACAATCTGGCTCATTAAAAGCAGCACCCGAAGGCATGAAGCTTCCACAGGATTTAAAACTCTGACTCTTGTATGGAAAAAATCCATTTGAGAACTTTTGGAAAAACAAAGCATAGTTATCAATGTTTGGTAAACAAGTTTTTTTTTTAAAAAAAAAAATATCTACACCATGTTGCTTGGCTATAATTAGGCATTTGCTAAGATTTTATTCCACAATTTTTTTATCCTGTGACAATTGAGTTTATTAGCATATGGAATTTGTTCTTAATTTTATTATGTGACTAAAATTGACTAGCATGACAGAGATGAGCTGAAGTGTGGAATAATTACTGCAAAACATTTCCCCCCACCCAAATAAAAGAGCTTCTAACTTTTATATTGTTTTTTTTTTGTCTTTCTGTTTATTGTCTTTCTCTTTATATTCTAAGCCCCAGGGAAATATTTATATTTGAAATGCATTGGGTTGTAATAAAATAATACTTTCTCTAGCATCTGGAAATCTTTCTCTCCCTCTTTGAGGGTGACCCCCCCCCCAAATCTCTGGCTTTTATGTGCAGCTGAAATAAAAGCTATGTTACTGTTTTCTTAAATAACTAAATGCAACTATTATAACACCAGAATAGCTGAAGAGTATCTTCTGGTGATATCGTAAACAAATATGGATCACAATCTGTCAGTTTTGCAACTTTCCTCCTCTTTTTTCAGCCCCTTTTGTTTTGGATGTTCTTGCGTGTTTCCATCAAGGCTACCTTCCTTACTATCGTATCTCTAGCACAAATTATTGTAACTTGCTGTCCATGGGTTTGTGCTTGAAGACCACCCAGAAATTTCAGGTGGTCCAGAAATGCATCTGGAGGTATGCTTAGTGGTTAGTCAAGATACTGCCATGATAATGCGCTATAAGTAGGTTTGTAAGTGCGGTTCAAGATGTTGGACACGAGCTACAAAAGGGCCAGGATCTGCTATCTTAGGAGCTGACTTTCTACAATAGTTTCTCACTGTCCTACTCGAAGAACTAGATAGTACCAGCTAGTTAAGAGTCAGAAAGTATGGAGCACCAGTGATGGGCATTCTCTGAAGCAGCTCATACTTTAGAATAATTGCTCCCTAAGGCAAGGATGCTGAAACATGGCTGATGCCGAAAGCCTTTGGGGATTAATTATAAGCAGTGTTGCTATGTTCAAGACATTTAGCTTATTACTTTTAGCCTTCATTTAAGCTGAGATTTAATTACATTACTGTTCTAATTAATTATTATAGTGACTTGCATCGGGTTCTACGTGTAAATTATGTAGCCACCTAGAGTCCTATGGCAGTCGACAAAGCCCATAAATAAATAATAAATAAGCAAGTGAATAAAATAAGCAAGGCAGGCAGGCTTGGAAATCCCCTAGTTTATCATTAAAGGGCACTTCACCAAAGTTTATGGGATCCTGGCTTATTGGATCTTGGCAGCTGTGTGGGGTCTGACAACGGTAAAGCTATATTTCATAAGAGAAAATGCAAAGCAGTCAGCAAATGCCAAGCGAGTCCCAATCGGTGCGGTGGTTCAAATGCTAAGCCAAGAATGGTTTAAACATGGTTTATTGAATTACCCCGTATTAGTTGGCTCCAACCAAGTTAAAATATAGTCTCTGGGTTTGGTATTAGGTTACGTTTGTGGCATTCAATGATATTACATTACAGCTACCCTATGACCTACTTCTGTATTCTATTGCTGTTCATAAATTTATTATTCTTTCTCTTGTTCGGTTTATCTGGGACAAAGAACAGGCTGATGGTCCATAACGTTCTCTGTCTCTTGTTTTAAAAATGACGTCATCACAGTTAGTTTCCAAGGAGGCCAGTTTTAGTGATACACAACTTCGTTCTGTCTCTCCCACTGGAGAGAATAAGTTGACTGGATTATGCTCATTGTGTAAAGGAAAAAAACCCCAGCTTCTGATCTCAAGGCTTCTTATAGTTGTCATCTCATTATTCAGAACTTGCTTGATCAGATCTTTTGAGTAACCTGTAGGAGCCAATATAATGAGCTACCTCGCTTTGGTGTAGGCCTTTGAAAAATACATTCAGAAGAATGTTAAAACTATGAGATCAAACACGGAAAAAACAACAACAACCAGGATGCATTTTGCCTACCTTGTTTTAAAGTATAAATAGTTGAGGTAGCTGAAAAGTTAGTTGCTGTAATCACATTTTCCCTATTTGAAGCGTCAATTTCTATTCTCATCAGTTTTTCAATATCACTATGGAAACTGCTAACTTCCCCAGTGGGAAAAGTTGCATTGGTTAAATGACCATCGGAATCATACCTAGGAAAATAAAAAGAACACGGGTAAATGAAGTATAGAAGGAAGGAAGGAAGGAAGGAAGGAAGGAAGGAAGGAAAGAAAGAAAAATAGAAAGGAGGGAAGAGGAATGGATGGAAGGAGGGAGGGAGGAAGGAAAGAATGAGAAAATAGAAAGAAGGAAGGTAAGAGGAATAGATGAAAGAGACGGGGAAGAATTAAGTAAGCAAGAATAGAAAGAAGGAAGAGAAGATGAAAGGAAGGAAGGAAAAATAGAAAGAAAAAAAGAAAAAAGAAAGAAAGAAAAAAAGAGGGAGAGAGAGAGAGGGAGGGACGGAGTAAGGAAGGAGGGAAGGAAGGAAAGAAGGAAGGAAAAATAGAAGGAAGGGAAGAAGAATAGAAGAAGGGAGGTGTACCCATATCAAGAACATTTTATTATGTTCATCGACAGAGGAATAGAGGATAGAGACAGACAGACAAACAAGATTCTGGTATGAATCAGCATTTGTTCTCTTTTTGAGAGCCATCCAGTGGTAATTTTGCTCAAAAGCAACCCATTCTTTCCCTAGCTATCAGGAGAGTCTGGATTGGCTAGCCCAGAGTGAACTCATAGCATTTCCACTTACTTACCTGCTGTTTTCAGCTGCCTGCTGCCTGCAATAATAAAGCCTTTTGCTTTCCAAAAGACATTACAAGCTGCTTCGGGATCCTGTTTTGGCTGAAGAGCTGGGTCAAACATGCGCCCCATACGTAGAATGGCTACTCTTGACAGTGATTAAGAAGTCACTCTGCATTCCCAGGAAAAGAGTCGCCCTGTGGAGGCTTTTCACAGCTGGTGGAGCCAACTGCAAAAACCAACACTTTTGGAAAACAAGGCTTTTATTTCAGCCCCAGTGTCCTCCCTAGCATCCCAGCTTAATTTTATATTTCTTTGTAGCCAGAGAAAGGTTTTTCCAAAGGAAACTTTCAGGATTTTTTTTCTTAGATGCTTATAAAAATGGTGTAGGGTTTCCTGCCTGAGCAGGGGGTTGGACTAGATGACCCCCAAGGTCCCTTCCAACTTTACTATTATTACTATTACTGAGGTGGTGGGTCAGAGAGCATTCCAGAAATTGCTGAGTCTAGAGATAATGCTCTCTCCCACTGTCCTTGACTGTTTAAGCCATATCCTGTTTTTGCTTTGCTTAGTAGCCAATTCCCTATTTTTATCTCTGTGTCAATGTTCAACTGTCTGGTATTTTTCCATACTATCAGGAATGCTGAGATCACAATGTTTAACATATTACCATATATGGGATCCAGAAGGGTCAGGAAATGCATACGTTGTATGAAACTATATATGTGCACTCTGAACACACCTCGGGGTTCAGATCTTGTTTTTGGCTTTGTGTAGCCCTCTGAACCTGCACAAATAAACTTTCCTTCTCCAAAGAGCTGGCTCATGTCCTTTCATTCACAACATTACTATTACTATTATTATTATTATTATTATTATTATTATTATTATTATTATTATTATTATTATTATTATTATTATTATTATTATTATTATTATTATTATTATTATTATGTAATCATGACAATGTTAAAAGCCACAGCAATACAGGTAGTCCTCAACTTACAACAGTTCATTTAGTGACCCTCTTTGCTTTCGGGAAATGTGTGCGACACTGTTTGGCTCAAGAGACTTTTCATCCCCGGCACCTCTGTTCGTAAATAAGATCACAGGGTTCCAGGGGCCGCATTCGGTTGAAAGTACAGAGAACTGTACTTTTAAGATTTTTTTGTTTTTTTTAAAGAGTCCTTTCTCATCGTGGGCTAACTCATTTTAGATTTAACACACCCTTGTTGCAACTTTCAAGGTTTTATTGGCACTTCTTCTGCCTTGTTTTATAAGCCAACTTGCGTAGCCCATTGGGGAGGAGGCAACCACGTACATAAAGGTAATTCAAAAATAATGATGGTGAATTTACAACTACCAAATAACCGCACAGGAAGCTTTGGTTTTCCAGCCTGAGTTTGATGTAACTCAGAGATGCCACAAGAGGCCGCTCTGTACTAAGAAAAAGGGAATTTAAAAGAAAAACGGATTCTTCTCACTGAAATGTTTAACGTTTCCTATCTTGAATGGCTGAGAGTTCAAAATGCTGTGAGAAACATATTGAGGGTTTTAGACAATGCCCAGGAGCAGGAGTGTCCAGGTTTATGAATTGCAGCCTTGTGGACCCATCAGATCTACACGTCTAGGGTGTGCTACTGGCATGGTTTATGTCTTCTAGCTAAGGCTTCACAGCACTGGTGGAGAAGTGATGACAGCTCTTCTGTGCCTCCTGATGGGAAATCCAGCTGTCCATTTCCAGCTGTTCAGATTTCCCCCCTCCCCTCGTATCCTGTTGGTTTAAAGCCAGGCTGCCGAAGCTGCTTTTTTCACCGGGGATTCAAGTATTTGCTGGTCTACCAGGAGCTGATCAGAAGAGCTGATACCTTGATAACAAGGCCAGAAGGTAGACCAGGCAATTCCGTGCAATTCCCTTCCCAGCTCTGCGCTCATTTATCCGTGAAGAGATGAGTCCCTTTGAGTCAGAGGCTGTCCAAGCCGTGCTGCTGAATATGTGTCAACGCTGCAAACAAATCTGGCTGAAACCATTTCCACTTCGTTTTCAGTTGCCGCAGAACTGGGAGGGGGGATGTGCACTTTTAAGTTTAGACAAAACAATAAATTGTCCTGTGGGAACCAAGGTCATTGCTGCTTGAGTTTTGGCCGGGCTGAAGCTTCTGTTAGAAAGGCCGCCAAAGTAGATTATTGGGGAATGTGATTTCAAGGCATTCAAACCGGTCAGTCCTAGAAGAGATCAACCCCGACTGCTCTTTAGAAGGCCAGATCCTGAAGTTGAAACTCAAGTACTTTGGCCACCTAATGAGAAGGAAGGACTCACTGGAGAAGAGCCTAATGCTGGGAAAGATGGAGGGCAAGAGAAGAAGAGGACGACAGAGAATGAGGTGGCTGGATGGAGTCACTGAAGCAATAGGCGTGAGCTTAAATGGACTCCAGAAGATGGTAGAGGACAGGAAGGCCTGGAGGAATGTTGTCCATGGGGTCACGATGGGTCGGACATGACTTCACAACTAACAACAACAACAACTGGGGTTGGAAGTTCCACAGTTCAGCCCTGAGCTACAGATATTCTTTTCTACTGGTACCTAAATTAAAATTCAGCCTCAGCAACAGATTTCACTGAATAGGTTTGGTCTAATCATTTCCAATGTTCTGTTAGCTCTTTTTTAAAAAATTGAGCAATCATTCCTCATCGTCTTGCACCTTGAGGGCAAGATTTTAAAATAAATAAAATGTAAAGCACAAACTATAAATTAATATGCCCTTTTGTAACCAAACTGATCCCTCCCATTGATTTTGCTATTTTGGCTTTCTCCTACCTCTTCTATCCATGAGAAGAATATGATGGGTGTAAGCCAGGGGTAGGCAACCTTGGCTCTTTTATGACTCGTGGACTTCAACTCCCAGAATTCCTGAGCCAGCATGGCTCAGCTTGGAAACCTCTCCCTTTCCCCTCAGCATGGCTGGCTCAGGAATCCTGGGAGCTGAAGTCCACGAGTCATAAAAGAGCCAAGGTTGCCTACCCCTGGTGTAAGCAGTCAGCAAAATTGGCTTCGACAGACTATTTGATAAAAAGTCTATTTAGTCTATTTAGACTCATATATTATTTGTGTTTGCTGTGCACTGCCCAGGATTACATTGTATAAAATGGGTATCTATATAAATCTTATAAATAAATAAATGCATACATAAATAAATAAATAACAGTTGCATTTCCTGATACAAATATATAGCTGATTGGGGGCCATATAGATCTTATAAATAAATGAACAAGTAACTATTGCATTGTATATCTGACATAAAACTGAGGTTTTTGATAAGGTGTGCAGGCGCACCTAATCCCAATGAAATCAACTTTTTGGAATGGATTAATTCCTCCGCAAGGTTGAATGTGACTAATAAACCCAGTCAAGGTGTTTTAAGATTTCTGAATTAATACATTAATAGCAATAACACTTAGACTTATATACCGCTTCATAGCGCTTTACAGACCTTTCTAAGCGGTTTACAGAGTCAGCATTTCGCCCCCAACAATCTGGGTCCTCATTTTACCAACCTCAGAAGGATGGAAGGCTGAGTTAACCTTGAGCTGGTCAGGATCGAACTCCTCACAGTTGGCAGAGTCAGCCTGCAATACCGCATCCTAACCACTGCACCACCACGTTTCTTTAAACCCCAATTTTTGTTGGATGAAAAGTGAAACATTTTATAGGGAAGAAACAAAACGGCTCTAATACATGATATCACGTACCTTGCAAACTATGGACAAGATGGATTTTTGATAGTGGAATGAGGGGAAAATAATTTTCTAGGCTAAGCAGTTGTTTTTCAATGGTTTGGTAAAAATGCTTAAGTGTTTACTTACTCATAAACTGTTGTCCATCCATACTCGTTGCTTTTGGTGGCAAGAAGTCCAGTGGTGCCAGGATAGGTCATTAGGGCTAAATTGTAGCCCTGAGCATAAACTCTTTTGAGAATGCCATTGCTACTGATGGTCAACCAGTATACCTGCCCTCCAGGCATCACCATCCAGAGAGGTAAGCCACTGGCATCCCTTCGTATATGTACAGAGTGACCGTTGTTGCTGGTAACGGTGCCAAGTTCACCTTCCCCGTTATATGTGAAGTTATACAGAAAGTCTCTCGTGATCAGATTGAGGGTGTGCAAGTGAGTTCCATTGTTCGTGAATTGATACAGTTCTTGGTCAGCTGGAGAGGCTATCTCATAAATATTGGCATCATTGAGATGAGGCTTATTTTGGCTAACAGCACGGATGCGGATGTTCCCAAGGTCAGCGATGTACAAAGTGCCATCAGGAGACACGGCAAGGGAAGATGGAGCTTTGAGCTTGGCGTCTTTAGCGTATCCACCATCACCTGAAGAATAGGAAGAAAACAATGTCGACCATGCAAATCTGCAATGACTAGCTCAGTGGTTCTCAACCTTTTTAATGCCGTGACCCCAACTGGTCGTAAGTCGAGGACTAAACCGGTCGTAAGTCGAGGACTAAACTGGTCGTAAGTTGAGGACTAAACCAGTCGTAAGTCGAGGACTTTCACTGCCCGGGAGCGCCGCACATGCGTGGTTCCGCCCCCTGCGCCGGCCGAGGCGTAGCTGGCAAGCGGCAGAGACGGAGCAGGCTGACCACCAGCTGGCTCAGCCCAAGGGAGGTAAGGCACCCACCGGAAAAGGGGAAAAAATGGCGGACAAAAAAAATGGCAGACAAAAAAAAAATGGCGGACAGCCTTGCTTGGTGACCCCCGTGAAATGGTCGATCAACCCCAAATGGGGTCCCGACCCACAGGTTGAGAACCACTGAGCTAGCTAGTCAAAATAAAGAAAGACTAGGGATGAGATGAGAGCAGTATTCCAGTATTTGAGAGGCTGCCATAAAGAAGAGGGGGTCAAACTATTCACCAAAGCACCAGAGGGCAGGACAAGAAACAATGGTTGGAAACTAATCAAGAAGAGAAGCAACCTGGAATTAAGGAGAAACTTCCTAACAGTGAGAGCAATTAAACCAGTGGAACAGTTTGCCTCCAGAGGTTGTGGGCGCTTCATCATTGGAGGCTTTTAAGAAGAGACTGGATAGGCACTTGTCTCAAATTGTATCTTGCTTGAGCAGGGGGTTGGACTAGTAGACCTCCAAGGTCGCTTTCAGCTCTATTCTGATTAAATGCAAATTATCCCAAAGGTGCTTTCTAAAAGGCACCTGGACTTTCTTGGGTTTTTCCTCCCCTTAAAAACGTTTCACTTTTCATCCAAGAAGCTTCTTCAGTTCTGAACTGAAGAAGCTTCTTGGATGAGAAGCGAAAGATTTTCAAGGGAAAAAAACCAAGGAAGTCCAGATGCCTTTTTGAAAGCACCTTTGGGACAATGATGACCTGGAAGATTGAGAATCTCCATGGACATTAATGCAGATGTCATTATGACAGGATGAAAAAGTGAGGTGACCTTCAACTGTCAATATTGTTATGATTGACAAAAGCATTAGAATAGAATAGAATAGAATAGAATAGAATAGAAGGGACCTTGGAGGTCTTCTAGTCCAGCCCCCTGCTCAAGCAGGAGAACCTATACCATCTCAGACAGGTGAATGTCTAGTCTCTTCTTAAATACTCTAATATTTTCTTCCAAAAATATATAGCCACCAGGGAACAGTTCTCGGAATATATAATTGAATTGTAGTGATATCCTGTTTGATACTTTATTGCAGTGTTTCTCCGCCTTGGCAACCTTAAGATGTGTGGACTTCAACTCCCAGAATTCCCCAACAAGCCAGGTTAAAGTTGCCAAGGTTAAGAAATACTACTTTATGGAGTCAAAGTTGGAAAAAAAACCATTGTCACCATTGAATACAACCTTCAAATCAAGTTGTCTCTAGCCCACTTGAGCAGCTCCAAAGAAGAGGGTTGTCCATCACTATGTTCCACTCTTTAAATATTTTTAGTATTGGGAAATATTTTCCTAACTTCATTTAGCTCTTGGTTGCGTTCCCACATAATGGTGAGCCAGGGATTTTTCAAACTATCCTTAAAACATGCCACAATAGTTTGATCTCCATGGAACAATAACCCAGAAATGGGTAATATAGGATCCATGGTAAGCTCCAGACAAAATGATTGTACTGTGATTTATTATTATATCCAACTTTGGTTGATGAGAGCTGCATGCACAACCCTGCTGTTTTGGAAACTTGTACATTCCAAGCTGACAAAAACGCAGTGACAATCACAGCAGAAATCATTACGTTGGCAGCATTACACTCTCATCCAGAAATGCAATGACATGTTGAATCAAAATCCTTTTATGCTGCAAGTGACGAGAACCCAGATGTGCTAAAATGTATTTCTTTCGAGATCTCTGATTTAGACTAATACGAATAGGAAGTTTAGATACGTATCATAGTTGATGTTTGTTTGTTTGTTTATCTATCACACTTCACCACCACCACCACCTCTCTCTCAAGAGAGGCGCTCTGGGCAATGTACAATTTAATACAATTAAGCATTTAAAGCAGAACAATTTAAGGTTATTTTTTTAAAAAAATATATAAAACATTGTAAAATTGCAAAAAAAATTGAGAATTCCAATTGGTATCAATGGGTTAATTCTTCCCAACCACTCTGAATTTGTCAGGCGCAAGCAAGCAGAACACTCCAAGAATGGACTAAATATTCATTATTATTATTTATTACATTTATGTGCCATCCATCTGGCCTTAAGAGGGCTCTATTTCTATATAGGTTTCTTTGTTGTTGATCTCACCAGACTGTCTGTCTTCCTTTGGGAAACAGCAAATATAGATCTAAGGGTTTGACCTCAAATATTTCCTCTCCTGAATGGACTCAAAGGTTTTTGAGGAATGTTTTTGAACTTCCCCTGTGTGGGCTCCGTCTCCCTCAGCCAGTGGTTCCACTACAGAATTATTAATCACATTAACAGACTGGGTCTCCCTCATCACCTGAATTATAAAATCACAGAATCATAGACTCATAGGGCTAGAAGGGACGTTTGGAGGACTTCTAGTCCAAGGCTGGAGTCCTTATACCATCTATTGATAATGGAACACAGTTACTCTATCTCTTCTCCTACAGAGCAGGACCATTGTGTTGACACAGAAGAATCAGTATGCTAGCAATCCTCGAGCTGACTAATTATTTGATGTCTAAAAAAAAATAGCCAATTTTGCAATTAAGATAATGTCATTCATCCCATCACACTACCTTGTTTTTAAAGCACGTGAACTCTGCCCTTCTACCAGGCAAAGCACCACGCAGGGGAGTTGAAGTCCACATTAATATTGGTAATACAACTGTCCTTTCTAACCCTAGAAACCCAGGAGCAACATTTGGATTCAGAGAGTAGATAAGAGAGACTTGGAGGGGTGAAACCTCACATTCTCCAAACAGCGAAATTGAATATAGGGTCATGATTTTGTGAGAACTTAATTGTTTTGTTTTCAAGCATCCCAGTTTCAAAATGGGATGCTTGCTCCTGGACAGAGTGCTTCCATCATTCCAAAGTGAGGCTTACACTGGCACAAAAAAACAAATTTAACATTCAGGGAGGAGATTAGAATACATCTGGGAAACTCAAATGCCCATCTTTCAAGGAAAGGGATTCCATTGTCAGGCTTCGAAAACCAAGAAAGACACAGTGAAACTCTTCTAAGCAGTTTCCTTTATTCAGTCTTGGTCGGTCACTGGGAGGAGAGGTTAAATCTTCTGAGCTTTTGGACGTGTGCTGGAGCCCATCCACAGGGAACTTCTCTCTATTGGAATGTGACAGAAGAAGAAGAAGAAGAAGAAGAAGAAGAAGAAGAAGAAGAAGAAGAAGAAGAAGAAGAAGAAGAAGAAGAAGAAG